CAAGAGCTTAGAATACCAATGCAAAACTAAATTTCTAGATTCAGTACCATTTAAAGATTAAAATCAAAAGGACCATTTCAGATTTTTCCCGAGCCTGGCCTTCCTATGGTTCGTAGAGAATTTTATCTAGTTTGCATAACTTTTTCGGAAATGGAATAGCTCTTCTAGATTTTTAGTTATTTAAGAAACACTCCAGCGCTGTCTAGATTCGTCAACCATTACAAAAATTAAATTTTCTTTCAAACCGCTCCATCTTTTTCAATGAAATCAATTTTCCTTGAAAGCTAACTCTTTCAGGAAGTTTTTGACATAAAACCGAGGTCCAGGAGATTTTTCTACATTTTTCTAGAATTTTTGAAAGTTAGCTGTAAAACAGATTTTTCATGCATAATACTCAAAATAAGAAGATTGGTGAGAAAAGAGGCCAACTAAGGGAATTTTTCACTTCTTTTGTGATGAAAACATACTAAATAATGTATCAATAACTCAGATTTTTAGAGTGATGGTATGCTTTTGGAAATAATGTGAGATGTGGGAAGAAAATGTAGTTTTGCATCTATTAAGGGGAAATATGAATAGAAGAAGCATCAAAGCCCAATTCATCAATTTTGAACACATGAACACCATTACAACACATCTGAAAATATGATTTTAAATCTCTACTAACATGTATTTGAAAAAGGAAAATATAAGGAGAGATGGTGATGTGGCTTACTTGAGGCTTGGTTGAATTGCTAACAAAACTCTCTCACTCCTTTCCTTCACCAAGCTCAACTCTCTTGCCCTCTCTTTCCTCTCAGCTGAATATGTAAGTGTGAGTGTGTTTTGTGCTCAAAAGTGTAGAGAGAATTGGTGTATTTATATCAAAATTGGTGTAAAAGATCCAAATTGCCGTTTGGTTGGAAATGGATCGGATATTTAGATTTAGTTTGAATTCAATGGAATGTAGGATGATTATGAGGCCTAATTGTGTACCAAAACATGATCTAGTTAAGGTTAAGGCTTAAGTAAACTAACTTGGTTACAAGTACAAGACATATACATAATGCATTTGTACCGTCAAATATTCTTCCTAAAATCAAGCAATTTGTCTCCAAAGTACATATATATATATATATATTCAAGAGGGTGGCCGGCCCATGTGGAGTGGATTTGAGGGGATTTTTCCTTGATTTATGTGTACAAATGGTATTTAATTGGAAGATATTTGTGTACAAAAAGAATTGAATATGATTAAAGGTACGTAATATGTATATAATGGTACTAGTTTGGGGTCAATGTGATTGAAGAAAAATATGAGGGGTAAAATCTTAGTTTATGAATTTGAACATTTAATTAAGTGTAGTATTTAATTTAATTAAGATTTGAAAATTCAATTTCGGTTAAAGTTTCTTTATTTTAGATTAAACGGCGAATCATACTTGGAACCGGAAACCTAGGATTTTTGTGTGTAAAATATAATTAGAAAATTAATTTAATTATTATTAGGGTTTTGGAAATGATTCCTGAGCTCTGGGTTTAATCAGGGTTTTCGAGTTTTCGGTTGGCGCTCATGTTTGACTCTATAACTAGAATTGAAGACAAATAGGGATTTGAGTCTCTTATTGAAATAATTCAAAAGTCAAGGACTTAATAGGTTTTACCAAGCTTAGGGGCCTCACAACCTACCCCGCTTAAATAAATTTCGTCCCCAAAATTTCATTCTTCATGTCTTGAAATGTTGTAGGTAATTGGTCCGCATTGCATACCTGTACTCTTGGGTAGATTCTGTCAACGTATATTAATCAGCCGGATCATCTACGTCTCTTAAGTTCTTCTCTCTGTTGTCCAAAGCCACCATTGGTCTCGTTTTAATAATGGCGTTTTGAATCGAAATTCTCCCCAATTAATGGCGTAAGGAGATGCGTTAATCTTCCGTGTTTTTTGAAAATTCTGAGCCATTCGTTGTTGCTTTAGTGTGAGGGCTTGTATTGCCAAATTCCCGATTTGGTAATCTATACTTTTGTTAAGAATTGATTCCTTGGTAATTTGCTGATGCCATTGCATTTGTCGATTTGTTGAATCATAACTAATCTATCCCCCTTAAATAATAAAAGTGTTCCATTGGATGGGTGACTCATCTCCTTCTTTTGTTTACTATCGATAATTGCTAAGGTACGAGTAACAAGTCTATTTCTAAGATGAGGTCGGAGTCGGATATCTTCATGCCTCATAAATTGCACGAATAATTCCTATGACCTAACATGAAGGAATGCAACGAACAAAATGTGTATCCAAAAGTTCTAAGATTGGATTGATTAAATAAAGGAAATTTACACCATCTACGTTTAGGTTACAAAAAGTCAGTCCAAAAGAGTTCTAACTGCTTAGTTACATTCTTCTAGGTTAACCAAGGCTCATATTGCAGTTCCTCGGATCCGTATGTGTTGTATTTCTCGCTCTCAGGGTACTGCGTAGTGAGGTCTTCGTCTTCTTCTCCATGTAGTGCAAATATTCTGCCAGTTAGCCTCTGATTATTATTGAGCCTAGGTCTCTTGTTGCCTCCTTCCCTCTGGTATTGTTGACTGGCTGGTCCTAGCTTGTTCTTCCATGGCTTCTACCCGTCAATCCCTTGTGAGTTTGCTTTTGTACCTTCTCCTTGATTTCTTTATTGGATGAGTTGGGGACACTCATTCTTCTTGTGCCCTAGTTGCTAGCAATATTAACACTAGATCGGCCAAGCTGATCTTGCTTGGAAGCTTTCCTTCTGGTACTGCTGTTGTGGTTGTTGTAGTTGCGGTGCCCTAGAGTACGGTTTTTGTACTGAGGTCAATAGCTGTAATATGAGATTATTCTGAAGCACACCCAGAATCAGTCCGACATTATCTGTGCATGAAAAGGTTGAAATCGATGGGTTACGGAGCAAATAGAGGCCCGAACTGGAACAGAGCAGCAAGGAATCAATTGGAGAAGATAGAAGTTGATGGGTACAGTCGAATACTTGCTGCCGAACAATGAGAGATGTAAACTGATGTCAAGAGAAGAGAGAGGTGCAAACTGGGTACCACTAGAGCACTTGGCTGCTAGTGTCATTGGCGGTAAGCCTCTGATAATGTGACACAAAGTGAAACAAAATAACGTATTCTATTATTGAAGCATAAAAAACAAGGTTACAAAGGGAGATATATATAACTAAGCTAAGCAAACCCTTAAAAAGACCAAAGACTGCACTACCTTTAATAATAAATAATATTATCATAATACATATGCTTAACACATAGGATTGTACCTTGTCATTCTTTTTAGAAATCTTTTGAGGACTGGTGGGGGTAGTTGTAACATTCTAAGGTTGGGAAGGCTTTAGGTTTATGAAGAACTTTAAAATGGTTAAGTTAAAATTTTGGAACAAGGAAGTCTTTGGAGATTTAAGAAACATAAAAATTGAGATTTCCAAAAGGATTGATGAGTTGGATAGTTTAGAGTTGAGGGGATCACTTGATGGGTTTCCTAGCAAAGTGAGGGTGGAGTTGAGAGTTGGGGACAACTTGTGAGAAACATTACCAATCTTAGTACTCTCGGTGGGTTTCCTAGCAAAGTGAGGGTGGAGTTGAGAGTTGGGGACAACTTGTGAGAAACATTACCAATCTTAGTACTCTCGGCCAGTTGAAATTCATGCTGTGCATGTCCTTATTCAATTTGTTGCTGTTCCTCATTTTGTCCACTGTACTGCCATTTGTACCATTCGTACCATTCGTTATCTTTGTGGTATACTGACTCATCCTTGACTTCTACCTTTATCTTCACTGCTTCAGCTCATGGTTTAGTGATGCCAATTGGCAAGTGATGTTACCAATCAGCATTCTATTAACAACTTTTGGGTTTTTCTTAAGACTCACTCATTTCTTGGAGAAACAAAAATCCCTCTCTTCCTTCCTTGCTTGGGGCAGAACTAGTAATCTCATCCTAGGGCTAAACTGAAGTACTATGTCTGGAGTGTTGTCTATTCATCTCTATTGAGATGTCTGTTCATTTCTATTGTGATGTCTGGAGTGCTATTTAGATCACTAGTAATTATAATTCCTTGAGTGCACTAATCCTCGTCATTCTCTGGATGGGATGCTCACTCTTCTTGAGTGCACTAATTGTCACCAACCTTTTTGACAAAATCTCATGTGAATTTGGAATTCTGTTGATAAGTCCTCAGTTCATGATCCATTTGACTTCGAGAAATGCATTATAAAATTTTAAATTTCTAGTTTGGTATCTTATTGTTATTGTATATGTTGTTTTGTTTACCTCATGTGTATAAACTTCTCTTTTTCCCTAATTAGTGGATGACACCTTATATCGGTTTGTTTGTTTATAACAACTCCAAACTTGTCAAAATGCCTTGAACAGTTCACTTGGTAATGAACCCAAGTGTCATTCCCCAAAAATTAGTCCTTTAGTCCAAAGCATGGTCCTCCAGTCTTGGAAACCTTCTGGATAGGCAAATTGAATATTCAGGTTGCTTGTTAAATAGACTTCAACACTGAAAAGTAAATACTATGTTCTCTGACCATTTCTATTTATCTTTGATTTACTGTGACAACAAATTCTTTGAACTAAATTTTATACAATATTCCACAACCCTTCTCTGTGGTTGCTGTTTTTGCATGGTTTGCAGTCCTTATTCAGATTGTCCCGGTTGTTTTTTTGTAAAGGTCATTCTTGATAGATGTGTACTCTGTAAAGCACATTCTGAGTGCTTAAATTTTTGTTCAATCAACACACCATTTTCCTGTAATGGTAGCTATAATTGGCCTTTTATTCCTAATTTGGCATATCACACATTGAATTTCATAGTTTTTTTGCTATTTCTTCTTAAAGTTTCTTTCCATTAATGGGTGGTAAATTCAAGTTCTTTTTAGCGATTGATTTTATTTTATTTTTTATAATAATCTGAATTTTTAGATGTGTCACCCCTTATTTGGTTTATCGGATTTCCTTGTCTTGATTGCTTTGTTTTCTTGTTTAACCAGAGAATCCAATGCCTGAAGAAGAAGTTTTACTTCCATTTTCAAGATTATGTTGATTTGATTATTTGGAAGGTAGGGTTCTGACTTTAGCTTTTCTGCATCTTTTTTGAGCTTTGACCCTTACATAAAAATGTCAATTTGTGGCTTGATATCTGTCAATTTATTCAAGCCTGCTTATCCTTATCAGATAGGGGAGTGAATTGTTTATCCATTTGGGACAGGTACAATTTTTAGACCGGCATCATCTACTAATCAAGTTTGGCAGTGTTGATGGAGGGGTGAGGTTTCTTCTTTGCCTTCATTCCCTTGCATTCTTTTGTGTTTGTTTTTTTCTTTTAATTTTCCTTTTTGGCTTTTATTTTTTTGTATTTTATTTTTTGTTCTTTTGTTTGTTTTTAATTATTAATTTTATTTGGATTTCACTTAAGCTTGAGGGTTATATGACATTGACTTGTCAGAGGGCGTAGGAGAACTAGCCTAAGTATGAGAGCATTTCTAGCTATAGGAGAGCAGAGTTATAGAAATTGAAGTCTTGATGGGGATCACTTGCGGAGGCCCAAAGATTCATTGCACTTATGTGAGACGGGCTTGGAGACTCAAGTTTAATTTATTTTGAAATATTTAACTAGGGAATTAGAAATAATTTTTTTGTATTTTTGGTTATATGGGATTTGTTTCCTTTTTAGTTGGACTATAAATATGGGGATGATTGTTAATTGAGGACAACTTCAATATTGAACACAAAAAATTGAAAGTTAGATTTTATTGTTTTAGGGTTTTCTTCTACTTTGCTGGGGTGTTTTTTTTTTTTTCTTTCTTTGTCAGCCGGCCATCTGGCATTAAGTGGTGTCAGTGCGAACTCCAATCCGTTGTTACCGCTTCATCAGAGTTTCCTTTGATCCAAACATCAACTTGACATCTCCTTGCATAGTTACTTTCACCATCAGCTTTGTTACACAGCCTTGTTCCCACAAAGACAGTCACTGTGACACCACTTGTCATCGGCCAGAGCCATCACCGACAACGCTTTGTCGATTTCATCATCACCACTGATTTTCAATGCCTCCATCCAATGTCTATCTCACCGGAATCCATCATCCCTTACAGCAGTTACCATCATTGGTTACTGTTGAAGAGTCCTTTTCCGTTGTCGACCCTTGCCTAAGCCTCATAATTATTGACCCTCTGCAGAGTCTCGCTACTCCGTCACCGTAAGTTTCTTCGTCAGTTGGAGTTGTCCAGCGTTGTTCAAGGATAACGACTAAAGAGGGAGAAGCACTGTTAGGGTTTCAAAACCCTTTGACCCATCTCATATTTTGTCCAAAACCACTCACAACCCTAATTCAACCAACTTCTAACCCAAATAAACCCAGTCCTATCCTTATATAAGCAAGATCAGCCCACCTACCTTAGGTAAGCCCATGTATCCGTAAACAGCCCATCTGCAACTCAAGCAACCATATAACAGCCCTTAACTACAGCCTGTTCAATATATTCCACTGTACCTCTCCTAGTCTAAAACTCCTGGCCCAACCAACCCATTAATCCAGCCTACACTTGAGTTATTTCACTGATCGTTTAACCAGCCCAAAACCCAACTATCAGCTCATAACCTTTAAGTGCAGCTCACCTGCACTGAGTCCAGAACTCCATAATCAGCCCAATAATCAACCCAGCCATTGTCTTAAACACAGTATACTTTAAACCTAGTGCCTACCCATTCCACCTTTATAACCAACACTTACTTAACCTAGGCCAATCCAGCCCAATACCCCACCCACACATACAGCGACCAGTCTATACCTGCAGCCCCCAAAACCACACTCAGCAGTGAAAAAAGAAAAGAAAAAAAAGCAGCTTCATATACAGTCTTGCACTTTAGTTGGCTCCTTTTTGCTTCACAACGTATGTTTTCTTTGCATTTTGAAAATTGGATTAACTCATTTATCTTTTGCTTTCAAGTGGATTTTGTAAATTAGGTCATGTCCCTTTCGTTCCTTTCCCATCTTTTTATTTCACATTTCCAAAAGAAAAAAAAAAAACTGTCTTATCTTTTTTTGTTCTTCACATCTTTTTGTGTTACATAGTCATTTTCATCGCAATTAATTCCTTTTGTGAACACGAAACATTGTCAATGATTTCATTGTTTAGTGCAATTTAGAGTCAAAATATCAGCAAAGCATACACTAATCTTTCTCCTTTCCCCACCATGACCATCCGTGATTTGTCCAACCAACAAGCTTCATTAGACCATAGGGTCCATACCTTGGAAAACATTATGATAACCAAACCAAACCAAGCCTTAAGTCCCATTAAATGGGGTTGGCTACGTGAATCCTTCTTCTCCACGCGGCCTTATCCAAGGCCATTTCGTTAGTCAAATTAAGTAGATCCATATCTCTGTTTACAACGCTAACCAACGTTAATTTAGGCCTACCTTGTCCCCTAACACTTCCATCTACCGTTAAAGCATCGATCTCTTCACTATTGTCTCTGTTGGTCTCCGTTGAATATGACCAAACCAACTCAATCGATTCTCTCTCAACTTATCTTCTATCGGTGCTACTCCTACCCATTCCCGAATACACTCATTCCTAATTCTATCTTGTCTAGTCTTGCCACACATCCACCTTAACATTCTCATCTCAGCCACTCATCTTATCTACATGTTGTTTCTTGGTTGCTCAACACTCTGTCCCATACAACATTGTTGGTCTAATAGCCGTTTTATAGAACTTACCTATAAGTCTAGTGGGTATTCGTCTATCGTACAGTACCCCAGACGCACTTTTTCACTTACACCTTCCCGTCTTGATCCTATAGGCCACATTCATATCAATCTCCCCCGCTGTTGTGATAATCGACCTTAAATAACGAAAATGTTCACTCTTAGGCAGTTCTTGATTCTCAATCTTCACTTCTCCTCTGCTTTCATTATTACTGTTACTAAATTTACACTCCATGTACTCTGTTTTAGTTCTTATCCGGAATTCTTTGGATTCAAGAGTTTTTTTCCAAATCTCTGAATCCTTTGGAAAACATTATGATCCAACACTCCATCCCATACAACATTGTTGGTCTAATAGCCGTTTTATAGAACTTACCTGTAAGTCTAGTGGGTATTCGTCTATCGTACAGTACCCCAGACGCACTTTTTCACTTACACCTTCCCGTCTTGATCCTATAGGCCACATTCATATCAATCTCCCCCGCTGTTGTGATAATCGACCTTAAATAACGAAAATGTTCACTCTTAGGCAGTTCTTGATTCTCAATCTTCACTTCTCCTCTGCTTTCATTATTACTGTTACTAAATTTACACTCCATGTACTCTGTTTTAGTTCTTATCCGGAATTCTTTGGATTCAAGAGTTTTTTTCCAAATCTCTGAATCCTTTGGAAAACATTATGATCACTACCCAAAATTCAATGACCTCTTTCTAGGACAAAATGAACACTATGCACACCATTGTAATTGATATAAAAAAAATATGATGCAAAGTACATGAAAACTAATTTGAATGCATGAATTCAATATTTAAACCAACCAAAAACAAGATTCAATCCAAGAACTTCCCAACTTTGCTTCTTTTCGAACCCTCCCTCATTTTCTTCATTCCAATCCTTCAAAGCATGATATTTGAGACTTCAAATCATGAATAGATAATGTGTGTTTTGTAGGAAAACATTTATATGCAATGAATTCAAGGTAAAAACAAATCAAAACATAGTTAAACAAATCAAAACATAGTTTTTCTTAGAAGTCTTTAATGCTATTTCCTTTTTCCAAACTTTCATCAAAACTCCAACTTTGATCCTTCAAAACCCATCCTAAGTGATTTTCTAGCTAGATCAAATCAATAACATAAGAAAGAGGGTTGAATATCTTATCTTTTTGTGAATTTCTCCTAATTTTCCAAACCTAGGATTTGTTGTTCTTTGATCTTCTCCCGTTTTCCTCATTTTCTCTGAAGAACTCAAGGACTCGAGCTCTCTCTCTATTCTTCTCCATCTTTCTCAATTTTTCTCTCTCTCTCTTTTTATTTTTTTATTTTTTTATTTTTTAAATTTTTTTGTTTTTGTTTTTTATTTGATGTAATATTTGATTAATTGTCTCATTAGCTTAATTAACCATGCTTAGTTCTAATTAACCATACTTATTAGTCCTTAATCTTCATTAGTTTAATTAATCCTACTTAGACTTTAGTTAATCCTACTTAAATTTTGCTAATCCTGCTTAATTTTTAATTAAGAACTCATTAAACTCTACTTGTTAGGCTAGATCATTAAGCTCCTCACTTAGGGCTTCTTGAATCATCTAAATATTCAATATTCGAGTTCAATATGAATTCTCTAACTCTTCAATACTTACTAAATCTCTTGTCAAAGTTCCATGTTCAAATTCTTCTAGGCTCCTTTGGTTCTCTATCAAGCACAAACATTCTTAAGTTTTCTAGCTAATGTATTCATCTTCTAAGTTGTTATCCGAACAATTCATATTTTTATCTCTAGAACATTGTATGGTAATTAAATTAGGTATTTGTAAGATGAGATAGATAGTCAATGGAATAGTTAATTTGACCTAAGGTATTCAAAAATTGATAATGATATAGTTATAGTGTGTGGCTTTCTTTAGGGTGCCGCACTCAGAGTTTATTCATGTCAACAGTTCTATTTTTCTGCTTGCATGGTTCTTTGATTTCAAAATCCTGAAGTGTGCCTTCCATGAGATTTGAAGACTTATTGCATACATATTGTTGTATTTTGCTTTATTTTGTTGAAATGGAAAATATGAGGAAAGGGTTTTTGGACTTCAAATGTTAAAAAGTGTGCACCTAGCAATATTTCATGATCTTTGATGTAAATATCATGTTGATTAACTCACTTTCGCAAAGTTGGAAAAAATTGACATGTATGAAATTTGGGGAAAATTAGTTAGTTGGGTTGCTTAGTTTTAAATGTCTTAGCTTAAAAGATGACATGTTTTAGGGTTTGTTTGGTATTTTTGAGGCATTTTAATTTTTAGTTTTACAAGTTTAATGATTTATTGTGATTATTTCATACCTTATTATGTTGGACTATTTGAATTATTTGATGAGTTTTGGGATAACTAGGGCAAAATGGGCATTTTTGGTTTAAAATGGATTAATATATGATTGTATCACTTATTAGGTTTGAAATGGTGAATTTAATAAGGGTAAATTGGTAAATTTGACCCTTAGATATAAATTGGTAATTTTGATCTTTTAGGAACAAAATGGTAATTTTGTACTTGTAGG